CTTTTTTAAAAATCAGTTATATTTTACTTTTACTTAAATTTATATTCTAAATAAGGTTTTATTTTTATAATTAATTATTTAGATTGTATTAAGTGTATTTACTTTGATGATATTTTTATTAATTCTAATTAATTTATTTAAAAGTATTTATATTAAAGGAAATTAATTTATTTTTAATTATTTATTTAATCCCAAAAATTATTTTAAGAATAGCAAATTTCTTCAGTTATATATTTAAAGAATCTTTTTTATTATATTAAAATAGTCATTATATTTTGATCTTGATAATGTTTTTTTTTAGTTACTATGTAATATGTAAAATTTTTAATTCATTTAAAATACTTTTATTAATTAGATATATAATAATTATTAAAAAAATAATCATTCAATATATTTTAAAAGTTATTGAAAATTACATATTATTTATCATATTAATTTAATTTATAAAGTATATACTATTAATTTAACTGATATATATGACTGCAATATTAAATAGCACAAATTATTTTGGAAAATAAAAATATAAATTATTAATTTATAAAAATTTTCTTAGTAATTAAATTAAAATAAATATTAATAGTAATTGCTAAAGTAACAAAAAAGATTCAAATATCATATATTAGAATTAAAAAAATATTAATTATTTATATTAACATTGTAATAAATTATTATAGTGCCTAAAATTTATAATAAATATATATTTTATTTAATTACAAAATACATTAAAATAAATATTTATAAAAAAATATAAAAAAAGTATTATTAAATTATATTTAATCTTTGATAAAATTTAGATTATGTTTAATTATTTGATATTTTAGTATTAAAATATATAAATTTAAATTATTAATCTATTTTGATTTATATAAAAAGAAATTATATATAAAATTTATCATTAAAAAAATATATTATTTATAATTATGTAATAAAAAGTAAATGAATATGTAAATCAATAAACTGTATATATTTTTTTTAATTAAAAAAAAAAACTAAATATATAATATCAAAAGACTAATACATAGCAAACTTAAGCATTTTTCTAAGTTATAAAGTTTATTATGTTCTTATATTATTTTTTTATAACTAATTTTTATACATTATATAATTTTTTTTTTAAATCAATGCTTTTATGCAATTTTAATTTTAGTTATCATATTTCTAATTATCTCCCAAACTTTTGGATATGCTTAATACATTTTCCTATCTAACATAACTACTGCTTTATAAGGAGTTGAAATTTAATCAAATTTTAAAAGCTCTTTCATTTCTTCAATAACTTCATTTGATTTTAGTTAATTTGCTTATTCATCACTATCATCTTTAAATAATAATTATTAATCAATCTAAAAAATTAAAAAAAATTATAATTTCGATAATAAAATTAATTACATTTAAAATAATGACAAAAAATTTATTATTAAAATATTTATTATTAGCTAATAAATGTATTTATTATCTTGATTATCCTATTTCTTGTATTTTATTTAATTATAATTAATAATCTTGATATTTTGGCCTAACCATATAAATAATTCCTGTAAAAGGAATCGTTTTTATAAATACATCATGTAAGCAGACAAACTTTTTTATTATTTTTTACCATATATTTATTTTACTTCAGGATGATTTGATATATCCCAAACTCCATATTTTTCTTCATTTTCTTAAAATATAATTTCATAATTATAACCTAAAGAAGATTTTATTTATTCCATATTTTCTTCCCATTCTTTTGGTTTTAATTCATTTTTAATTTTAAAATATGTTTATTTTATTTTACATACTTCCTTATAATAAATTTTCATATAAAAATGTTGTTTTTCCTGAACCTTATTATCCAAATAATAACATCTTTATAATTTAATTATTTTTATTTAAAAAAATAAAAAAATACATGATGATTTACAGATTATCTAGGACCCATAAGTAGTGCTTTATAAATAAAAAATTTATTAAATAAAAAAAAATATTTAAAAAGTAAAAGTATATTAAATGATAAAAAAAAATATTTTTAATATAAATTTAAAAAAATAGATATAAATAATTAATAATTATATATTTAAGAGAAAAAAGTTAAAAATTAATAAAAGTTATTTTATTAAAATAAAATTAAATTGAAAATGTCATTTGTTTTTTTAATAAAATAATATATAGTTATATATAAAACATTTTTTAATTTAACGATTATTTATTTTTTTATAAAATTTAATATAAATAAAAAATAATTATAATTTTTTTAAACTCTTAGTCTTTTAATTAATTCTAAAATTAAAAAATTCATTAAAGTTAATACTATTCATAAACAAATTAACCCGTCATTTAGTCTTTTAACGACAGAGAAATATCAAAATGAATAGTAATTATTATTAATTAACCCATTAAAAGACAAAAAAAATAATTTTAAAAGATTTTGATTAAAATTAAATAAAATTATTATCAAAAAAGTATAACTTTTTTAAGAAATAAATTAAAACGAAATGGCCTTAATATTAAAATAAATGAATGAATAAAACAGAATTAAAAAAAAAATGAAAAACAAAGTATTTAAAATATAATATGGATTGAGAAAATAATAAAACAAAAAATTACAAAAATTAATATGCGTATATTATTATTTATCTATAAAGTTTTTATAATTTAAAAATAATTTTATTTTATAGTTTTCTAAATAAATCAATAACAACATAATCCTCGTTAAATTTATTATGTATATATAATTAAAAAATTATGAAATTTAATTCGAAATTCATTAAAACTTTAATAATAATATTGTAATAAAACTATATTAAAATTAAATATTTTATAATATTTATAATAATTTAATAAATATAATGAATTAAATTAAGAACTTTAAAAATTAATATATTTTAAAAAAAAAAAAAAAAATTAAATTAAATTTAATTTTTATAATTATTAGGCAAAATATATATAAATTTTACATAAAAAAATATAATATTTTTTTATCATTTATTTATATTTCTACTTATATTTTATTTTTGATATTCGTTTTTTAAATTTTATATAATACTTTTTTATTGTTTTCTTATTCGGACAGATTTTTCAAATTAAATTTGTAATTTTTTATAATCATCTAATAAATTCTTATTTTTTCTTGCAATTTAATTTTTTTTTATAATTTTAATTTTTATTGTAAAAGCAAAATATTTTTTTATTTGATTTAATTAAAATCTTAGTTTTAATTGCAAATATTTAAATTCTGTTTAAAATTATTTATTGTAGATTTTTGTTTTTTTAAAGAACAGTTTTTCTTGCTTTTATTAGAATTAATACTCAAAGAATTTTTAGAACTAACTTTATTTTGTTTTAATGAACTATTTTTTATATCATTTTAAGATTTAAAATTATTTAAAACCTTTTTTTTTTATTTATTATTATTATTATTATTATTATTATTATTATTATTATTATTATTATTATTATTATCATTATTATCTTCTAATAATTTTATTTTATTCATTGTATTTTATATTTAATCCTACTATATTTTTTTTTAATATTAAAATTATTGTTTTTTTTTTCATGCTATCATTTTCTGAACTAACTAAAGAATCTGTTATATTATAACTTTTAATCTCTTTTTCTAATTTTTTTATTGTCTAAATATTTTTATCAAACTTTTTTTTTATAAAATTATAAAATAAAAATATTATATTTTTTTTTACTTAATAATTTAAAGAATTATTATTTTCTTTATTTGATTGTTTGTTTGTTTTATTTATATTTTTGATTTTATTTTCCAAATTTAATATTTTGTTTTATAATTCTTAAAGTTCTGTATTTAATTTTAAATCTTTTAATTCTAGTTTTTCGCAATCTATATCATTTCTTTAATTTAATGTTTCATTTGTAATTTCTTTTTTATTATTTTTAGGTTGCTTTCTTATTTTAAATTTTAATCCTAATTATTTAATTATTTGTCTAATAATTAATGTAAATATAAATGTTTATCATATTATTTTAAAAGCTTCATATTTTTTTAATTATTATAATTTAATAACCAATTTTTTTTTTTTAAAAAAAATATTAAATTGTTTAAATTATTTATTTAAATAAAAAATTTAAATTTAGAAAATATTATATAAAAATAATTAATAACTTTAATATTAATAATATAAAAATATATTAAATATAAGAACTTGAATTATTATTTAAAATATAAATAATATTAAAACTATAACAAAATATATATAAAAATTTATTATTTAATGACATATTTTATATAAATGAAAAAAACTAATTTAGACTAAAAAAAACGAAAAATAAAAATAAAAATAAAAATTAAATATTAAAATAAAACAAAGATAATATGTTTTTATTAAATTAAAATATATATTAAATTTAAAAAATATCGAAAATATAAATTATTAATTGTTTTAAGATTATTACAAATAAAATATGTTTTTTAATATTTACGAATTTTTATTTTAGTATTTATTTATTTTATGTTTTTCTATTAAAAATATAATATTTATTCGTCATTTTTTTAAATTTTTAAAGAATAAGTAAATTTAAAATAGTAATTAAATTTATAATTATTATTTTAATTTTAAAAATATATATATATATATAAAAAGAAAATGGAATAAATAACTGAAGAACCTCCTTTTTCATATTTTGAAATATTTATATTATATCCTTTTTATTTGATTTTTTTAACAATGTTTGTATTTCTAGTAATGTTAAACTAAAAAGAATAAAAAAGCTTTACAAAATAGATAGTATAATATCTTTTATAGTTATATATTTAGGTAACTTCTTTACTTGCTACACTAACTTTACGCCAATAAATATATACATAAGAGTTGGTATTCCAATAGCAATAATATTCCTTGTCATGAATATAGCAAATAAGATATCCATTATAGGAATAACAGGTTAAAAATAAAATTAGATTAAATAAAATTAAATAATTAATAAAAAAAGGTGGAAAAGCATGCGGAAAATCTTCAGCATGTGATTATTTTAAGAAAAACCTAAGAATGTCAGTATTAACATATGAAGAATGTTAACAAAAAGCTTTCAAAAATGGAAATCCCGGTACAAATAAGCTCAAAGAAAAATACGGAAGCCAAATCCTTCTCGAAAACGGTGATTTGGATTTAAAAAATGTAAATAAAATTGTCACTTCTGAATTCGAAAGAACTTAATTATAAAGTTTTATTTCATATTATACTAACATTTAGATTTTAAAAGAAATTTACAGAATCGCCTTTAAATAAAATGAAAACCTATTCGTTTTAAATGCTCCAAATATATTTGATTCATATTTATTAAAGTATATGTGCTTTCCTATTATTTCTGTTTATGTTTCTTCTGAGTAAACATAAATCCAAAGACTTATGGAAAAAGATGGAATTTTATATGAATAAGCTTCTGATTTAGTAAAAAGAGAAAGCTCTTTAGTATAAAAATGTGAAAAAGCTACGATATTATTATGTAATGATGGTACTAAACCTTAATTATATAATAGTATTTCAAGAAAAATACCAGAATTAGTATTATGAAAAAAATAAAAAATATATATATATATATATATATATATATATATATATATATATATATATATATATATATTTTATACAATTTTTATTTAAATTATTTCTTTTTTTTTAAAAGATTTTAATCTTTTAGTATTTTTAAATTTAAAAGAAAATAATTATATCTATATATTTCACTAAAAAAATCATATATTTTACTAAAAAAATATTATATCTCCAATTAAAAAGAAAAAAAAATGGAATAAAAAAAAATAATTTTAAAACAACCTTAATATACAAAAATACAATTAAACACAAGTTTTTAAAATATATAAGTTGGCCCTTGTATTTTTCAAAGTCTAAATCTAAATCAATAAGACTAATTAATAAATATTTATTTAAATACTGAAGAAGGCTACCTTCGAATAAAAGAGATACAAAAAGACTAAAAAGAATAACAAAAGTAACAAGCTAAGGAACAAAAAGTAAAAAAAAGAGTAATTTTTTAACATTCTGATAATTGTTCTGGTAAAAAATTCATTTAATATGCCCATTTTTTCGATTTTTCATAATGTTAAAAGCCTCCTAGTGCTTAAGTTGAAATATTTGCTTTGATTTTTGATAATGAGAACAATCTCCTTATAACAAAAAAAGCCCATAATTAGTTTAATTTTCCTTGTGCATGGCTTTTTGTAGGAGGAACTTTTTAAAAAGGAGAAAGTATAAATTAAGGTTTATTAAGGCTTATACATGAAACAATAGGACTATAGATAATTTTGTTAGAAAACGAAGATAAAAATGTTTTCGAAGAAGAAGAGGAAAAAATAGAAGATAATAAAGATTAATAAAGAAAAACAAGAAATAATACAAAAAGAACTTTAAATAAGAAAAAAAAATTCCTTTTTTAAAATTAATTAATTATCAATTAAAAAAATGTACTTCATTCAGTTTAAGATTTTTTACTTTTTTATACTTACGAAAGTATTTTTCCTAATGATTTTTTTATTAATTTACCTTAGCAAAGTTCTGTTTAATTGTTTTATTATTTAAAAGTAAGAGAAAATTATAAAAATATAGAATTATCTCAAAATAAAAATTTACTTGATTACTCAGCATGGATTAATTAAGATTTCCTTTTTAAAATTGTCAATAATAATCATTTCTATGATTCTGGCTTTCTCGATAGTGAACTTTAGGGAGGTATTAGTATTAATCATAATGAATTTAAGCTTGGTATTAGATCACTGGTTGGAGTTTATCCTAATTTTTTAGGTGAAGGTATTTGTGAAGGACATTTTAAGGCTATTTAACAATATTTCAAATTTATTTCTAATAATTAAACCTGAAGTATTTAAATTTTTATCTTATATTATATTTTTTTGTTAAAAAAAATATTATTTGTTTTATTTTTTTAATTTTTTTTTTAAAAAACTAATATTATTTTTGTTTAATTATCTATGAGTAAATTTGAAAATAATTTTAGCAATTTACTTAAATTGAAACAAGAAGTAATTGATTTGTATTTTTCGAACTAAAATGTTTTTTTTTTTATAAAAGTAATTTAAATACAAAAAATATATAGTTTGTGATTAAAAATAAATATGATAAATAAATAAAGCAATAATAAAATGAAATTAAAGATAATAATTTAGAAATTGAATAGATAAAAGAATAAATAGATATAAGTAATCAAAAATATGTATAAATTATAAAGGAATTAAAAAATTATAATGAAATGCTTAAATAAGAAAATTAAAATATTAAAAAGCAGGTATTTTTAAATAATAATTAGTCCGAAAATTTAAAAGAGGAAATGTAAAATTATTTTGAAATTAAAAAGAAAATATAAATATATTTTTTTTAATTAAAAGTAATATAATTAATAATGAATATTAAGGAAAACTCAAAGATAAAGATATGGAAATTAATAAATATAAAAGAGAATTAGAAAATATGAAATTAATGCATTAATAAGAAATATATATATTAAAAAAAAGTAATAAAATATGAAATAAAAACAAAAGAAGAATTATTATATATTTAAAATAAATAGAGTTATATATATATATAAATATTTATTTTAATATAAAATTAAAAATATTCATTTATTTTAATTTATAATTTTATTATATTCTTCCAAAAATATACTTTCTTTATTGATATATTGTCCATTTTTATCTAAACATTATAAACTTCCAATATAAATAGTTTAAATTCCCATTTTTAGTAAATATGTTTATTTAAATTAGGAATTTAAGTTAAAATAAAACTCTCCTGATTATAAATCTGTTACATAATGTTAATTTCCTTAAATTTCTATAGCTATTTTTTCTTTTTCTAAATAAAAATCTATACTAATTAGATCGTTAACTTTTTGTTTATATATTTTATATTAATATAAAAAAATAATTACTTGCATATTCTTTAGTAAACTTTTTTCCAAATTTAATTAAAGTTGCATTAAATCTAGTTTCGAATAAAGATTATTCAGATTAAGTATTTTTTAATCTATTCTAAATAACATATATATCATAATTCTTATGGTTTACTAATTTCTTATTTAATATTTCCATTTTATCTAATAATTAATTATTATTAACTTCCTATTTAAAGCAAGTTATAGCTGTAGAAATAAGATTCGCATTATAAAAATTATTTTGATTTTTGAGAATATTATCATTATTTTCCAATATTTATAAATATAAATCCCAAAATCTTTGATCAAAAATTCTTGCTTTAAAAAAATAATTACAAGTTTTCAAAATAAAATCTATTTTTTCATCTTTACTAAAATATTAACAATCTTTTAATAACGCATAGATTAGTTAGATATCAATATCCTTAGTTGATAAAATCATTTTATATAATCCTGTAGTATACACTACAGCTAAATATTATAAAAAACATTTATCGTTTTTATTCTAATCTAAATATTATTCTGAAAGCATTTTTTTATATAAAAGACGTGTATTTTTGTATATTTTAGTACTCATTTTATTAAGTGAAAAAAAAATGCTTTTTTTAGCAAAAATAGATAGCTAATCAAATTAATCAATAAGTAAATTTTCGACTTTTTAAATTAAAAAATCCAAATCTTTTTCTATTGAAAGTGAATATAAATTTATATTTGAAAGTATGAAAAGATAATAGTTTAAATGTTTTATTACTAATATAGATTCATTATTTATAAAATTTTAAACTTAAAATCGAATAAAATCTGCTTAATAATTTCTTAATTTTCCATATATTTATTTATTTAGATTTTTTATTTATACAATTATTTTTAACTAATTTAAACTTTTTTTTTTTTAAATAAATAAATAAATTATATATATGTAATAGAATTATTTCTTATACTTAAATTAAAAAGATTCTTTTTAATATTAATTCAATTAGTAAAGATGAGTAATAGAAGTATAAAAATAAGTTAAAGTAGAAACTTAAGATGAAGTAGCTAAATTTTCACATAGTCCATAATAAACTAAATCAAATAAAGTATATATACATTTAAGTTTAATTTTCTCATCTTCAATTTAATTAATATGTACATTAAATTAATTTTATATTGAAATATCAATAAGATATTTTTATGCTTATTATATTTATATTCCTTTTAAAAATTCAGAAGTTTTTTAATTTTTCTATTCACATAATGAAATCTTAATAAATTCATTTAATAAAGTTGCAAAAATGATGACTTTTTGAAATTATTCTTCTATATTTAAGAGCATATTTAGAATTTTTCTTATATATTAATTTTATTTTTACTATAAAGGAAATTAAACAAAAGAAAAAAGTAAAATAAACTAAATATCTTATATTGTTTAATTTAATGATTTATTTTTATTAAATTATTAATTGAAAATTTCACATATTTTTTATTAAAAATCAAGTTTTAATTTAAATTCTTAAAGGTTATCTGTAAAAAAATCAATGGTTTTTTAATTTGAATCATTAGCTAAAAGTATTTGATTTTATAAATTTTAAATGATTTCTTAAGTTTAAATTTCAATTGGTGTTTTGTCATTGATTTATTTGTAATTTTTAAAAGGCATTTTTACATTAAGCCTTAAATATTAAACTTATTTAATATTTTTAATTAATTTTTTCATTTATTTTTTATCTTATTTTAATAAAAATATATGTATTTTAAGTATAATTTTATATTTTTTTATTTTTTTTTCAAAATATATATTTTTTATATTTTTTTTTCAAAAAATTTATTTTTTATTTCTATTCGAAATACTTATAGAACTGTCTTCATTTTTTTCTTCAATATTTTGTAAATATATCGGCTATTAATCGTTTTTAAATAATTCTTCAATTTATTAATTTTAAAGTTCATTATTATTGTTATTATTATTATGATAATTATAATCATTAAAAGTATGATTATAATAATTAATTTCATTTTCTGTTCTTTCTACTTACATATCAACTTATTAATTCTTTTAATTATTACTATCTTCTGGCATAAGAATACTTTTATATGTGCTGCAAGTAGTATTAAAATATTATTATTTATTTTAAATTTATTAAATTTTTTTATTTAAAGGTACATTATCATTCCAATAATTTCTTCCTGAACCACTTTAAACAAATTTAGAAACCCAAGTATTCAAATAATATTTAAGAATTCTTTATTAATAACAATATTATATATTTTTTCCTATTTTATTTCGTCTTTTAAATAAAAAAATATAAAAAATATTAATAATAAAAAAAAAATTACATTGCATATTTCTTTAATAAAAAAAGGGATTTAAGAGATAATTTTTTAGCATATTAAATGAAAGAATTTCTTTTCAAAACTTTAAATTGTTTGTATTTTATTAAAGAAAAGAACGTTTTAACCTTAATATTAAATAAAATAGCATTAAAAATTAAATTTAGGATACTAATAACTTTCTTTTCTTTATTTTTTATTTAAATAAACATTTTTTTCCATTCAAAAAAGTTTTTCTTATATTTTTTATATTATTAACGTGCTATAAAGAAATTCAACTTTTTATAAAAATAAGACTTTA